AAATCTTATTTGCTAAATTTGCTGTAATTAATTGTAATTAACCCATTTTCTCTTGGACTGTGTTGAGTCAAGACAATACTGTGGATTCAGGTAGACCGTTAAATGCGAATAGTTGTCGTGTTAGTTTTAACGGTTGTACGATGACGTTTCTAGGCAGATTTTCAGATGTTTCCATAGACGTACCGGGCGGGGGGGGGGGGGGGGGGGGGGGGGGGGGGGGCGGCAGCCCCCCAGTTTTTTGGACAGTTGGGCAATATTCGATTAACAGTCGGGCAATTTTGGGTTGTTAAAAAAAAAATCGCACCAATTCTGTCAATTTTTTCGAAAATTTAGACCCCTTAAATGGTACACTGACCGAAATTTATTTGGCTTTTCACAATCATGAAAAGTTGGGCAATTTTACGAAAAGTCGGGCAATTTTCTTTCCGCCCCCCTAATTTTTTCCTTCCGGTACGCCCATGGATGTTTCTAAGGCATGTCTTCAATGTATGTTTTCAAAATTTGAACGTTATTACAACGGTTAAATTTTGAACATAAACATTTGAAGCCATGCCTTAGAAATGTTTGAAAATCTGCCTAGAAACGTCATTGTACAACCGTTAACACAACAACTATTCGCATTTAACAGTCTACCTGAATCCGCAGTAACAAACTGAAAATAAAGTTACACTTGGACTAATATTTATTCCTATCTTTGGCATGTTGTTTCACATATGTTTCTTAATTCACACAGTAAGTTTCCACAGACTTCACATTGATTGGAAATATTCGATGCATACAAATATGCTTGTTTTAGTTGTTTATCCTTCTGCTTGTTGTGCTATTGATTTGAGTATGTTCATGACATCTTGACGATGATGATCAACTTTAGGCCTAAAAAAAATACCTGTGGTTCTGATTCCCGACCGACCCTATTTTTTTCTGCTGAATATATTATTTTTTCAATTTCAATTGCGATTGACCGTGCGACCCTATTTTCTCTGAGTGGTTGCAGGCTGCTCATACAGTATGCCAGAATGGCGTCTGTTGTCACACTAATTATTGAACCAAATTACCTATAAAATTCGTCCATAGGAAATATGCATCTCTAGTTAATATTGATGTCGGGACTGCAAATCGCCCAGCAAAAAACCACCAAAATCATCAAAAAAAAATTTCCGATCTACCGACCCTAATTTTTTCATGATATGAAACCGGAACCACAGGTATTTTTTTAGGCATGGGCGTACCGGAAGGAAAAAATTAGGGGGGCGGAAAGAAATTTGCCCGACTTTTTCGGATTGTGCACGACAAGTACCCAAAAAATTTTTTCTGGAAATTATTTTGAGTATTTATTATTTCATAACAGTATCTAACCAATGCATCTATCTAACCAATGCAGTATCTAACCAATTGCATGCCTCAACAGTAGCTTTGTTTGCTGCACCATATATTCAATATGATTTGTATATTGTTATAAATTCCTCTTTGACACTTTAGTATTTTTGTACGCATTGTTAAAAAATACCTTTTTTATTTATCAAACAAATGGCAAAATGTACGTTTCGAGTTGTTATTGTCTCGACTGAACATGGAAGAGAAAATACCTGTTGCAAAATGCAAAGTAATGCCAAAACTCAGAACCTTTTTATTGCGGTGTGGTGTGATGCTTGCATGCAAATGATAACTTGTAAGGACATGATGATAAATTAAAAATTGTTGTCAACCCTACTAGCTAGACCCAAGTCGGTCACCCAACTAGATCTTAGGTAGCTAAACTACATGCGAAGCTACTGTAGGGGACCCTCAATTTCAAAAATGCTCTGACCAATTCAGTTTTACAACCTACTCAATTTTAGGCTCTTGCTCTCAAGTTGGGGCCCTATTAAGGTCGGGGCACAGGGCATGCTACTGTTTCCAATGAGGATCCATACTATTTCTATGGTAATGATTTTGAAAAAAATTCCAGCATACATGTAGCCTCATCTGAACATGTATTCATAATTCACCCACTCGTTTACATTCGTCAGAAGAAGAAAATTGCAGCAAAATTCCATCAGCGGCAGCATTCCCCCCCCCTCCCCTCCCCCCACCTTGGTCTGATTCTCACCCTTAGATGATAGAATAATACAGTATTGTCCAACTGAAGTGACCTTTATAAAAAAGATTTGTAGTACTGATGAAACTTTTCCCAAGTTTTCATAACGTTTTTGTTATGGATTTTTTGCTTCCTGTAACAGATTATATTAGACTTGCTCCAAGTCTGCATCTCAAAGGTGGGTGGGCGAATTTTATCCCCTTCCTCCTACTCGCTTTAAAAATCTTCCTGCTTGCACTTTATAAATCTTGAAAATAAACCCTTTAAGAGGCAGACTTGAAGCAAGTCTAGTATTATTATTATGCTTGATCTTCTCACGAAAAGAAAAATGAAGTTTCAAATGCACTTGACAATCTTTATACGGTATCCCAAAGTTCACGGGTTCGATTCCCACCGTGGTCAGGCAAACTTTTCAGCTTGTCCGATGTGGATGCACACTCAGAATAACACCACAAACATTATATTCACCTGAGGCTGAGTACATAACACCAACACACAGTCACACACAAAAAGTACCATCAGTTTAATATACTGTTAACTTTCTTCAGGGGCTGGTTGCATAACTACGTTTTAAGCACTATTTTGCAGTTAAATTGAGTTAACTCTAAAATACGAGGTTTTGATTAGTTGACTTTCCCACTACCTGTAGTTAACTTTCACGACCTTTTTGTACAATTTTCCCCAGGTATAAATAAAACTCTAGTGGCAAGAAAAGAATCAAAAGATATCAGGATACTGCAAACTGCATGTCCTGCTGATAACTATATGTTCTAAATTTAAGAATGTTGCGATGAAACCAGTTCCTACATACAATTTCATTGTACGTCAACGCGAGACAATACATGACAATTTCTTGGTAGCTACACTCGACTATCCCTCATGTTTTACACGCTTTTTTCGTGTTCTGGACCCAACATTCCCCTCGTGTATTATAACACCATGATGACAATATAAAAGCACGCAACTCGTTTTCTGCTTCTCAAATTTAGCCGAGGTGAAACATTTCAAGCTTTAAGCCCTGGGCAAACTAGGAATTAACATTGTTGTGGAAACATTTGTGATTTTCGATGTTTCCTCAAATGTTTCTCTGTTTGCCCACCCGTGGAAACATTGTTGCGGAAACAAAATTTGCTTCCCGAGAAGCAAAAATATTTCCTAGCAAAAATATATCCCTATGTTTCTCACAATGTTTCCTAGTGTTTGTCCACTCTGGGAAACATTGGCAGGAAACAGTGTCTCCACAACAATGTTTCCTAGTTTGCCCAGGGCTTTAGATTCACAAAATAAAGGTTTGATAAGTGTTGTAACTATACGTAATGATAGTGGTCACGTGATTTCAAACTCTCATGCACTCTCATCCTTGTTTGATCAGGGCCGTAACTAGGCGCGGGGCATATTCGTATATTCATGTTCACATATCGTAAAAACAATCGATTTCAAAAGAAACACGATTATATGAATATGCAACCCCCAATTATCGCGTCTAGTTACGTCCCTGGATCCGGGTTTTAAACTTGAGGTAAACTTTGTTCGCCCTCATTTAAAATGTGCATTTAATTATGCGAACGTTGGACGTCGGATATAGTACTTTCATTACAACAACGTTCAGGGAGTACAAAATACATTTAGGTTCCATTTACATAGGACCAGATAAAAATAAATCTCAAATTTCTACGATTGTCTCATGCGCTTAACACGTGACGCATGAAACTGGACGAATTCGAGCACAACTATATAACCGTACGAATTCCCATGTGAGCCCGTTTACACTTTACACTTGCAATTGTTTCTGCGATTTTAGGTGCTGCTTTCTTCTTTTGATGGATGTGAACGAGTGGACGAGTTATGTATGTTCAGATGAGAGCACAGTGGTACATGTACATAAACTCAGACCATTCTTAAGCCTAGTTCTCATTCATCGCAAACTGTCACCGACGATCGGCGACGCTTATCGCCGATACTCGCCGAGCGCGAATGCACGAAAGTTCTCATACATCGGTGATCGTCGCAGATGACAGCCGATGTGTTTCGAAATTTCCCAAATTTCCTACAAAATGGCCGCATTCAACGTAAAGTTCATTATTTCTGTCAAACTTCAATTGATTATTTCCGTGCTTGTAGAGGAAAAAACAACTTTTACTCATTTCTCATAGATTTTTCAAGCAGGTGGCAGTCGGCGATGGTCGCAAGAAACAAACTTTTTTGTTTCCTGCGATGTCATCGCCGATGGTCGGCGACGATTACGGACAATCGGCGATATAATTTTTGATGTGTTCTCATAAATGGCAAGCGGTCGCCGACGTCGCAAAGCTCCCATCGCCGACGGTTTGCGATGAATGAGAACTAGGCTTTAACACATCTACTCCTCCGCGTTTATCAGAAGAAGAAAATCGCAGCAAAAAGTATAAACGGCCCTATATATGCTTCCGAATTCATCCGATGTCGTTATTCTTAGTGTACAAGATGCCTTTATGAAATGTTTTAGTGACATTAAAGTATAAAGCATTCAAACTTCAAGTACATAATCTGATAATTGTATTTTCACGACGTACTTAGCTTTGCCATGCATGCTATTTACAAAATTAATACATCATGTTGTAGTGTCAGTAGTGATTTCAACTCTTAAGAGCTAAGGATAAACACATGCGTTCCTTTAATCCCTTTTAGCTTGAACGGTAATGTTGAGATCATGAAATTTGGGTAACATTGAAATGTTTTCCAATTATACTTGGCATCTCAACTCGTAATTTCGCTAATGTTTCTGACGTTCTTGTCAACTCGTACTAATGTTTACAATATATATAATATGTATATTGTACAGTATATAGTAGCTACAATCTGTATAATCTAACACCGCTTTTAATAAATAATTAAACTTGAGGTAAACGTTTCTTTGTCTTCCCTCATTTTAAATGCACACTGCTACATATTCTAGTCAATTGAGTCAACTTTAAACACCTATTACTCCTGTACAGTAAAGTCAAATGATTGAACATGAAACTTTGGAATCTTTTAGTTTTAATTGCATTACGATGTAAAGGAATCAAACGTTGAGTAATCCGATAATCATGTATTCACCGAAATCTCCAACGTTCCTACATCTTCCGTTGCCAATTCCTAACCGTCTCTTCGTTAACAAAAATTTTTCACTAAGTCCTTTATCTCCCATTCGTAAGATTTCACAGACCAAGCTTGTTCAGCCACTGGACTTTGAGAAGTACATCTTGGAGAATCAGCCTTTGGCGGAGAATGATCCTGAGACTAAATTACTGGAATTCCCTGATGATGATATAGAAGTAACAACAATACATAGACAGCATCGTACTGTTCATCCATATATTCCTAAGGATCCTGGGTATGTCAAAATCTATTTTCCTTATACGGTAAACCTATGTGTGAGTTAACATTTCGTTGGTAATGAAATCCTTAAAATCTTAGGTTTCTTTTTACTGAGTCGTACATATTCTAAATAATTTCGGAATTTCATGCACTATGTCTGCAAATTGTATAAAATTTTATATTCCTAAGAAATAAATTGACTATTAGCTATATACAGGACTTACTTCGTGTTGGAACACACAAACATATACTGCATGCCATATTGAAAGGAGGAGGACCAGTATGCTTTTGCAAACAATGTAATTAGTTTATGCTTTTGTTTGATTAGAATTAATAGTAGGTCAGGCTCGTAATAGATTACTGTATTGCAAAACTACTCAAAACTCGCACGAATAACCAGATCTGCATTTGTAATTTTCCCTCTCTCATCAGGTCAAACATTCAATGCAAAAGTGACCATGTCTTTTCCTTTCTCAAATCAAACCTTCTTCACCTTTAGAGGTTGTAATAAATTACTGCCAGTATGTTTTAGTAAAAACTCCAACAAGTCAGTCTCTTGTTGTAAATTCGTACAATTACATTTTCTAGAGCTGATACAGACCCTCTTGTTGTGGACTGTGTGAAGTTATACACTTCCGACTGGCATGTTGTCAACAGAAGGTAACTATGAGTACTCAAAGTCCCATTTTTAAAGTGCCCATATGCATATCACTTGTGGGACCTTTATGGATTTGAAAACCGCGTAAAAAGTTAGCTAATAAGTTCAAAAGATTTTTTTGATTTAGTGCAATAGTTTAGAGGATATAGGCATTTAAACAACGGGCTGTTCCTGAGTCCCAGCCTCCTGGGGTCTAAACACGGCTATTGAATTTGGCCTTTTTCGAAACTGTCCATTGTGTATAGGAGCCTGGGACTCAGGAACTGTAGGTAATATAAATGGCTGTATCTTCGAAATTATTGCACTAAATCAAAAAAATCTTTTGGACTTATTACCTAACTTTTACTTATTAACTAACTTTTTACGCTCTTTTCAAATCCATAACGGTCCCATAAGTGATATTGGCACTTTAAGCCATGTTCTTCAAATCTCACCACATTTGAACAGGATTTGAAGCAGGGATAGATTTACTGGGGGGGGGGGGGGCCTTTCCAAAGACCAAAAGGGGTGCCAATAAAAATATAGAGACAAAATGAGATCTCTATCTTTCACATGATAGTGAAATTGTCATACAAGACTACAGAATAGTGCCTCGCTGCCGTAGCTCCTCTTCTAATTACGCACTTGGCCAATAGGTGCACCTTGAGGCTTGAACTACATGTATGACCGAACTCCACCTGACCAAACTCGATGCGCACCCCTTCTCCCCCATTCCAAATCTCACTGGATTCATCCCTGATTTCAAGTTTTGCTGAACCAGTTTAATATCTACTGTATTATATTTTGTTCATTGTACCACCGGAATATACTATTTTCAAATTGAGAAGGAAAAATTATTGACTGCCCAAATTATGTTGTATCTGATCTTCCATATTAATTCATCCTTGAACAGTGATGCTAATCTCTCAACTTCCCAGCGTTATGTAGCTTGAGCACTGCCACAGTGTTGGGCTATAAACCAGTGAACTTTGTTTCCAGCTTTCATTTTACTTTAACACCGCAGTGTGCAACGAAAAATTCGTTGTGTCGAGCAGGGTTCGAACTCGCATCTCCGGGTTTCTAGACCGTCGCTCTACCCATTGAGGTGTCGAGTCAAAGGGAATTGGTAGCGAGTCTTGTCCAATTTAAGTGCACGAGATATTTTTTCACGCTTGTTTTGAACCTAGAATTCTAAAAATCCGAAGGTGCGAGTTCAAATCCCACTCGAGACAACGGATTTTTCGCTGTACTCTGCAATATCCGAATAATATGAAGAAAGACGCCTGCTCAGGCGTTCACTTCGGCTACGTAGCAACACCTGACAGGCATGGAATGGATTTTTGGCGAACTGGATCTTTACGCTACCCGGAGCCTTGCAGATTGCCGTGAAATGGTGCGTGTGCACACATCGAGTCGCCATCACTGCATTCTGGGAGTAAAGTCAATTACTCGACGAAAACAAATGATAATACAAAAAAAAAGCACACACAAAAGGAGGAAACCTATGCTTCGTCAACGTACTACTAGCCAAAGTAACTAGTTTTTCATATCTGAAATAAATTTGTTTGCAGGTATCAATTTCGCAGTAAAGAGGAAGGCAAACCTGACTCGAGAAGAAGAACAGAAAAAACTGGAAGTTTTCTTGAAGAACTGCCTAAACATAATTACGAGATCGACGAGGAAAAGGCGCGAAAAGAAAATGACACGGTAAGGTTGATTTTATAATTTGTAAACTACTTTTACCTGCCCAATGTAGACGATATTCAGGGCTTAACAATAGGCGTACAGACGTACGATTGTAAGCTGAAATTAGCTTGGCATACGCCAAGAATTTCAGACAAGTACGATTGCGTAGGCTTCCTACAGCAGAGCTAGTGCTGTGCAATCTCCGGCTCCGACTCCGGCCGAATTATAGCTCTGAGCTCCGGCCACATCATAAAATATATTAAATGTTTTACGATCAGAGAACATTTATTAATATTATTATGAATAACCCTTTTCGCGCTTCCTAAGGCCAAAAAAATATGTGGGTTTCCGGTTTCCCGACCCTACCTAGCTTTTGGACGTCGAAATCCCGACCCTAAACTTTTTTATTGGATCATGCTTGTAAGTGTTTCCACTTAGAGGAAAAAGTTTGTGGAAAATTGAAATTTGAGGCAATATTAGGGAAATTTATCTTTGGATGTGGAAGCACTGACTAAACAAAATGGCGTCCGCTTGTTCGGAAAATTAAAAAAGAAGTTTAAAAAAAAAAGTTAAAACCGACCTACCCTACGTAAGTTTTTATAAGAAGAAACCGGAAACCCACATATTTTTTTTTTGGCCTAATTATCAGATAACATAACTCAGGAAACAAAACAGTGAAAACACTTAACCACGCAGAAAATATCTATATGGAAACCAAGGGTGGGTAGTAGCGAAGTTGTTGTAATTCGCTACTGTAGCGAACTACAATTTTCAAGTAGCCAGTAGTTTTTGACTACTTTTTTAAAACAGTAGCTGTAGTTATAGCGAACTACATTTTGCCTAAAAGTAGCCGAGTAGTTGACTACTTTTCAAACAGCGAATCGCTCTTCGCTACTTTTTAAAATTGTTAGCAACTTGATAGAATATAGCCCGCGTGCAGGCCCAAGGGAACTGATAGTGGGCCTGCAAGCAAGGCCCGGTATTTTGTAAAACGCCCCTTCTCATAACACGCCCCATTCGCGCGTCAATTGTCAGAAAAGAACCAATGACAGCACCCAAATATTAACAAACAAACTCGCATTAAAATGTGCGGGGTTTTCTCTGCTTATTCAGAACATAAACAATGTGTAAGTGGCTGCGTTTTAACTCCAAAAAAGCAAGCAACGCAGTCAATAATTGCCAAATTTGCAAGTGCTCATTTTCAACTAAAATCGGAACAGGCAAATTAGGACGAATTTCAACAGAAAACCAGTCTCAAACTTCAAATCGTGAGGGAAGTCGTGCGACCACATTAGCATTTATATTATATTATTGCCATTGTTATAAATAAATTGTCTCACTTATCAGATCATGTGTGCAATTCTTGTTGCGGCGGAAAGTACGAAATTTATTTCAGTTATTTCATTTGGTAAAGAACTCTACAAAAGAAGAGAGCGTTTAGAGTCCGGATCGTTTCGTTTCAAACGGCAATTTAATACCGTCTTCTGTTTCGCTCTCTCAGCGAAGCCTTGTAAATCGCAAAGTGTTTCGAATAGGCTTACATGCAACTGCATCTCAACATCAACCAAAAGATAATTTTCTTGAGGAACATATAACGTATCAAGTCTGTTTGAAATTAATGAAACTCAAGTAAAGGTTACTATAGTTTACCCCAGTCGTAATGAGTGCTATTCCAACACCTCACGACAAGCAATCCCCATTGGCATAACGGCAAAAACATCTCTTCCTTCAAGTAAACAATAAACAGTCTGTTCTTGTTCCATTTATAATCGAAAAAAGTGATCAATTTTCGAATTTTAAGCTTATTGAGAGCCTTTGTGATGAATCACTTATCTAATTATAGAATCTAACAGCAAACAGCCAATCAGAATGCCGCGTTCGTGGGCGAACGCGGAAAGTACAAAATACCGGGCCTTGCTTGCAGGCCCACTATCAAGTTCCCTTGAGCCTGCTCCCTTGGGCCTGCACGCGGGCTAGATAGAATAGAATGATATTGAGACACGGTTTGCTTAAAATCAATACTCAATTTTCACTCTTGAACACTGTAGTGCTTACAAAAATGTTGCTTTGTGTTTACTGTGGCTACTCGTAAGTCGATTTGTTATAGTTTACATATCAGCCTGAGTTAGTAGATGCTCCAAATACAGTAAAACTAAACAATATTGCGTAGTGAAATAGTCGCTACATTTTTAAAGCAGTAGCTGTAGTCAGTAACGAACCACCCTTGTTCAAAAGTAGCAGCAGTAGTTGTAGCTGACTACATATTTTTGAAGTAGCGGTAGTTATAGCGAACTACAAAAATTTTGTAGTCAACCCACCCTTGATGGAAACCAGCCTCGAAAAATCTTTCACAGTGTTGCAATTTTTATATAGCATGACGCGAGGCATGACGCTAACACTCTCAGACTCCGCAGCGCAATTGTTCGCACGCAAACAAAGTACTCTGTCATTTTGAAAAGGTTGATATTTATTTGTTTTGTACTTTTTCGTTATCTACAAGGCTCATACACAGACTATATGTAGCACTAAGTCAGATGGCTTCCTGAAAGCATGATGTTTAACAGCAATTGGGAGTTTGCAGTAACTAACAATCGTTTGACATTTGTCTCATTTCAATTGATTCTTGTCATTTTGCCGGAGTTGGGAAAATGTAACTCCGGCTCCGGCATACAAAATTCTGCTCCGGCTCCGGCGTCGGAAAAACCACCGGAGGTCCGGCAGAACTCCGGCTCTAGCAACTCCGGCGCACAGCACTAAGCAGAGCTCAACCGTTACTCCTTTGTGTTTGCCTTAAAATCCTTCAGGCAATGAAAAAACGTTCGCCTCTAACCCTGATCCTAAAATATCCATATATTTATAACAATCAAACATGAAACATTGATCCAGAAACATCGAGTTCACTGCTCGAATCCCGGACCGCCATCTTTGTTACATACGTCGTTTAAATCCAGCATTTCGAACGCATTCCTATATGGGAATTTTATACAAGAACTATATACAAAATCGTACGTCAACATTGACTAAATGTATACGTCAACTGATTTATTTTTTAAGCCTTGCGATATTTATCCCTCATTCCGTAATCGGAGATGGGCGAAAGAAAGTCAATTTAAAGAGAAAGTAATTTTATTGGAATATATTGATAAGGGCATCTTGGTTTGTTATCTTGCTAATTCTGAATATCTTCTTTCATTACAGCCTGATTCTGGTGAAAATGGAAAGGCGTCACCGGCAGATGACCTACCAAAGGGGACACTCGCTGCCAGGTGGGCTAAGTGCTCTGTTTCTTTAATTGCCAGCTGATGTTACGATTATACTGTACTTGCTGACTTATTTCAATAAGAAATTATCTCGCCTTCCATCAAGTCTGGCAAAGCCGGATCATAATCTTATAGCAATCAAAGTCGCGATTAAATTTATACAATAAACAAAAAAAGTACTATTGCGTGTGCCAGGATATGTGGGACTAGACTGAAGGCTACCAATGCGAAACTAGAATTACATTAATTAGCACATTTACTCTCTTTTATCGTTACATGAAGTTCCAGATGATAAGTTATCCATTGTACATTTTGACAAGTATACACGGCAAAAAACGCCGAGCCTGCTGCTCAACAGGATTGAACAATGTTTTGCTGCCCACGTTGTTCACACTTGTCAACAATATTGAACAATATTGTTGAGCCTGAATCGGGTGTAACAATATTGTTCAATGTTGTTGACAACTATGAACAATATGGGCAGCAAAGCATTGTTCAAACCTGTTTTCATCAGTATTGCAACAACCTGATCGTTTTTTGCCGTGTAATAAGGATGAATTGAACCTATTGTACATGCAGTAGCAATTTCTTTTGTCTCAGGGCTTATTCATATGAGCCCGGTTTGACTGGGCTATTACTGTAGGTGAGGTATTGGGTGGGATAAAAATATGTGTGACTGTGACTTACGCGATGATTCCCGATTTACCTTTTGCCTCTTGAAGGGTTCCGCTATAAGTCACGATTCAGATTCAGAGTGCTATAATTCGCGTACTTACATACCGCAGGTACGCCAGTATTACGGTCTGGTACTTCTTTGTTTTCAGCCACGTACCACGTAGGTGCGAGGAAATCTTGCTATCGTACTTACGTTTTGCTGGAACCACATGACCTTTCCAAGCCCAAGGTATTCAATACCGTAATTTAGTTGGTATGTCATGTGTCTGAGATGTCTTGGCATGAAACATGATTGGGCTGATATGGCACTAAGAAACGTTGGAGTCGATTGTTTGTATATGCAATTGTGCTTCTTTTTCTATAGCTCGTAGTCTGAACATACTTTTCAGAAACCTGTACTTTATGAACCTTATTTTAAAGGCTAAGTACACATTGAGTGCTGAGTTTGTATAGGGCGCTGTGGTTTCTACTAGCGCAAGTACGCGGCAACAACCATTGGCGTACCAGTCAGGTACGACTAAAAATCCTGAATTATCGCACCCTTAAGATTACGGAAAACCTCGTCTACACGGTTCAGTTCAAATATTTTTGTTTCAGCATTGTTGATCTGCAGACGTGCACTCCTGACGAACTACTTCCAGCAGTTTTAGATCAAATTCCCATTGATGAAGTGGATGGCGCCAACTCTGACTACAGACAATTTGAAAGAATTGGTTCACTCTTTTCCGTGTCTCTTGATGAAACGGTACTGTTTGTCAACACATTTCTCCGTGTTTAGAAATTAGGTTCATTATAATTAAGGCATTATACTGTAGTTTGCATGTCAGCTAGTTGCAGGGATGGAATTATTCTTCCAACTATTCTTGCAACCCTGGCCAATTGTTTGGATTTGTTTGAATTTGAGTCTTTCATTTCCGCAGAAATTATTAATGCACATGCGCAATTATATTTAGGATGACGGCACAGAACGAAGAATACCACCATCTATTCCCCAACAACATTCTGGACAGAGAGTTCTTGTGAAATGTTTAGCTTTAAAGTAAGTTGTATACAGTATTATTGCCCTGTGCATGCTTGTTCATATATAGCTCCAAGGCATTTGTAAATTCTTGGTGTTAAATATTCTCCGAAATCAGCCATCCCTTGGTAGGGCTTCTGTGTTGCAGTCGTCAGGTCAAGTGCCTTTCACCTCTGAGACGGGTTCGATTCTCACTACGGTCTCGTGTGAATTTAAAAGAGTCTGTCAACGCTCTGCCGAGAGTCGTGGGTTTTCTCCGGACGCTCCAGTTTCCTCCCACAGGGAAAGTTGACAGGGTGCAGGGTTAGGATAAACATACTGTAGTTGGGAAAGTAATATCACAATTGTTGTAAAGATTAGTAGTCTAGACTCAGTATAGGTAATATAAGTAAGCGTATACTAGATGTGATCGGTCACTGAAAAGCCCCGATGGTGAGTGAGCTGAGTATTGTATGTAATTCCTGGAACAAAGGTTTCTTCCGCATTCCCATTTTTTCGCTCTCTATATCGCCTGGGAATCTTATGATAAATATGAGAGCCCAACATATAACTTTTAACAAAGCCATTAAAACGGTTAAGATTTTAAAGAATTTTTATTGTAACGTTTCGTCTTTAACTTAAGACATCTTCAGACTAGATAAAATTACGATGAGATATGAATATATATAAGCTAATTATAATCTATTTACAAGGTGTTTGTTACTAAGCCTAAGGATAATAAAGGATAAGAGGGTGTATGTATGATAGGACGATACAAATGAGGAAACAAAACAGACACAAGACAACGGCAAATTAAGAAGGTTAAGCGGAATAGAGCTGCCCTGGACGTTAAGAGAGGGTTTGAGCTTAGATATAAGAAGGCTTTCGTGAATCAATAATTCACAAGTGTCTGAGCAAGAGGAAAGAATTTTGAAGTCGTCAAAGTTGGCAGAGTGACCTGTAGTATTTAAGTGAGAAAAAATACTAGATATGACTGGACTGGATGCCTGGGAATCTAATATCCCATCGGAGATTACCATCGTCAGCTTTACAATAGTGAGTTGGGAAACACAACGGCAACGTCAGTTAAGACGTGCTCATCAACAATACTGATTTTACTCTAAGACAAAGGCGCCGAGTATGAATTGTATTCCTTTATGCATTCCTATACGCCGTTCTTATTCAAACTACTATATACAATGAAATACGAGTGTGAGTAATTTTACCTTGAATTTTAGATTGGAATTAGACATCGAACCATTCTTTGCAAGCATGGCGTTGTATGATGGCCGAGTAAAAAAGAAGGTAAGACAACTTAAGACTGATCTGCAATATATAAAATCTTGCCTGGATGCTTCTTTCAAAGACTTCGATTGATCTGCATGTGTGTCAAACAAAACATGCATAGGATAACTTGAGACATAGACCAGAAGCCTGGCAGATAAACGTGAATGGTCATGCTTGCAATAGAGATGGTGTTGACTGCCTCCCACAAGGGTATCTGATGACGTCACCTCTCGTAAATGTCAGGATGTTTTAATTCGCTGACTCACATACGGCAGATTCGCCGATATTACGGTCTGGTACATCCTTGTGTTCAGCCAAATACCATGCTTGTAGGGACACGGGAAGGGCACTATCTGCGTATTCCAATTTTGCTTCACCATATACAGTTAGTATGACCTTTACAAGGTGTTCAAAACCACAGTTAACTTAGCTTTATGTGTGAATCTAGCATATTTTGAATGGAAGATGATTGGACTGACTAGACAAGATATAGCACTAAAAAATTTGTATTTGAGTTAATTGTATGTGTGTGTTCTGCGGAACTCGCAAACAACCCTACAAACGATAAATTTTAAAATCTGCAATATTACAACATTTAATATCTCCAAAAAGGCGCAACAAAATATTTTCCGTTTTAAAACAACGCTGAAAAACAGACCAAACATGTTTTACCGGTATACAGTAACTTCACTCTTTCCGAACAGTTCCTATTGATTTCACGCGTGTGACGAGTCGCAAGCGTGATGTCTCCCGAATTGTGTGTTGTATATACTGTATGCATGCACTTGGGCTCCATCATCTTCTAACTTGTAGTTTCAGGTTACCGAATTAATTAATATCTTTTAGAAAGCAATGTGTTTGTAGCTTATCTTAGAGGCTATGAGGATATATACCTTGGGTCTGCATAAGCTTGTACCAGCTCAAGTATATATAATAGAGTACCAGTGAAGTGCAGCTAAAAGTCGCATCCTGAATAAATGTTGTTTCCTCGCGAAAATATATCTCGCTAATCAAATGTTTTAGCACGCAAAACTATATTTAATACATTAAGTTTTTTTGCCTCTTTTTTTCAGATTTCTGAAAACTTTTACTTCGATATGAACACTGATGAACACAAGAAATTGGTGGGAAAATACAACCCTAAAGTTGACATAACGACACTCAGTCGTGCAGCAATCTTCTCCATTACATATCCATCAAGTGATGTTTTCTTAGTTTTAAAGCTTGAAAAAGTCTTTCAGCAAGGTGATATTTCCGAAGCAGCTGAACCATATATCAGAGAAACTGACCTGTCGAAGGTATGAGAGTTTATTATAAAATTAATATAAATGACCATTATGGTTCGCAGGGGTACTTTCCGTATGTAATAAAGTATGCTAGGTATATTCGTCCGGTAAAACGCCATCACATTAAATCATTAATTACGTTACAAAATCACTTTCGTACAGCAAGACTGTAATTAATTACCGAAAAATTACTCAAAAAGTAATGGCATGGGTTGTGGTATAATTTGGAAAATCAGACACTCCTGAGTTTTTCATTGTGCAATTTATTACATTACATCACATTACATTATTATCCAGCTAACTCCCCATTGGGGCAGTGACCGATTACATCAACTTACAGTACTTTCAGTATATTACTGACTATTTATCTTTGCAACAATTGTGATATTACTTTCCAAACTATGTTTATCCCAGGGCGCTTTTTTTTTAAACTTTTTTTTTAATTTTTCCGAACAAGCGAACGCCATTTTGTTTAGTCAGTGCTTCCACATCCAAAGATAAATTTCCCTAATATTGCCTCAAATTTCAATTTTCCACAAACTTTTTCCTCTAAGTGGAAACACTTACAACCATGATCCAATAAAAAAGTTTAGGGTCGGGATTTCGACGTCCAAAAGCTAGGTAGGGTCGGGAAACCGGAAACCTACATATTTTTTTTTTGCCTAAATGGATAGGACTCTCGCTGACGTAAGCAAAAACAACCTAGTTGCAATCTGTGACGTCACGCGTATTGCAAAGTTCTCTGCATTTTTGTTGTTTCGCTATATTTTCCGCCTTAAAAGAGCAATATTGAAGCATAAACCGGTCTAATTGTTTTAAAAACATGCCTAAGCCACGACAAAGTATTCAAGGTAAATGTTTTTCGTCTTTGTTTTGTATTTTTTTTACATTTGTAGCTACGAAATTGGCGTCCCCAATTTTAACGAAATTTGGGATGCCTTTTTCACTGTTTAGTGCTTGATATATTTGCTAAAATTGACTGGGAATACTTAGAGATTTCATCGTAGAATGGCGTAGTTATATTCATTTGCTCTTTGACTAAAATGTTTAGCTGTATTATTGCTAAACATGCCGTTTTTGAGAATTTGGTTTGCAACTAGGTTTCAACATCCAATCACGCCATCAGCCCATTGAAAACATTAGGTCACATCAGCTAGTTTCCTATCCATTTATTTTATTATCCATGCTCAGACAATTGTGCCACCGAATTTATCTAAAATGCACTAGAAACTATGCACATGCACTATTACCAATATACATTATGAATTAGAAGTGCATTTTCACTATATGCCGTTCAACCCAAGGTGTTCTCTCTTTATGAGCTCAACAAACTGTATTTATAGTGTTACATTTTCACCACTTATTATACTATAGAACAAAGATAAGCTAACTCAAGCAGCAGGAATGAACTGTGATCGACTTGGTAAATACAGAATGCCGTTTGCTTGGACAGCGATACATTTGATTGATATAATCAATGGTGTGGCTCACAATGATGTTGGCACAGCAACGTCAACAGAGAAAGATACTGCAGTATCGACAGGTTCTCAACGAAAGGTGCGTATAAGACTCCATGTTACGTTTAAACGATTTTATACCATTTACAAAGACATTAGCCGACAGTATGCAATAATGTACGTAATAGTATTGTTTCGAACTTTCGATTGCAATGTGTGAACAACATGCTCGGCTTTAAAGTAGACAACAACTAGAGGTGGCATTGTCTCGGTTAGTTTAGCCCGCATCATGATGTGAACGCGGAAACAACATTATTTGATATATGGGCACTGAAGAAATCAAAAAAGCTAAAGTACTGTATAATACTCACAAACACTGGGACTTAACTAATTGGTGATATAAAACTGAAGAAAGAAGATTGTTTCGAGAAGGACCTTAGGCAATGTGGATCAAAACAATTTTTGGCGTACCCTTTGGCCGCTTTTGTCGTTTCTTGGTACTGATTTATCAGAATAGCTAAAGCAGAAATATCCGCCATATTTGTTTCTACAGGGGTAAAAGAACGAGATCGCCCCAGACAGCCCCGGCTGTTTAACAGTATTTACTCGTGTACAACCCTTTCTACACCACTATTAAGTGCGAACACTCTTGGAGAAGAGAGAAAACTAACTTGATCGATCTACATGCAACCGAACAAAGTGTGAACGGGCCCGTAATAAAAAGTGTTGTAATTGACCTTTACTGTAGTTCGGCACTTCGGCCACCTTGATTGTGCTACAGTAGTCACAATATAATTACGATTGCGTTCTTTTTTCAACAGAACAGTCCTCCAGAATCGCCTGCCACGCCAACGTACTTGAAGAAAGAGAAAGTTGATTCCTTACCTCGGAGAGCAAACTCGATTAGTAGTCAACGTCGTTCAATGTATGGTGACCTTGATGATAGCTCACCGGATTTATCCAGTTTCAGACCTGTCACTCTGACAGTGAAGAGCTTTTTTAAACAGGTTAGTGTATTATCGCAATGACCTGGGCCCGGTTGTATAAAGAGGTAGTTAAAGTTCAGTGCAGTACAGTTAGTGCGAAAAAATAACCAATCAGAATCGCGTATGTGAGAGTTAAATACCATTTGACTACAAAACGGGTAGTTAAAAAGTATTAGAATGTTAGGGTTTGTAATCCAAGTGAGAATATATACATTCTCACTTGGATTACAAACCCTAACATTCTAATATTAATTCCACCAAGTGAAGTGCAAGAATCCATAACTGAAGTCCACCTTAGTTAAAAAGTAGCCTTTTATACAACCGGCCCCCGGTTTATAGAGAGTTTCGCAATTCGCAATTTAACATTGGTGATCTCAGGGCAGTTCCATGTAACGGAATTTGTGCGCACATTGGTTTAAATGGCGAGATAATAGGGCCATTTAGACGGCACAAAATAAGTCGCGACTTAAATAAGACGCGAGTTTGTCGTATAAAAGGTACCAATTGAAATTCTTATGTAAGTCGCGTCTTGGATAAGACGCGACTTAAATAAGAACAGGATTTTTAGCTGTTCTTATTATCTTATTCTATATATCTAACTACACATGCCCGAAACTTGAAACAACGTAAAGTTACTAGCCTTGCATATTAAAACAAAAACAACCAAAACAACATTATAGCTATAGCAAGTAAATAAGACTAAAGCCGTAGAGAACCATGCATTTATACGATAACCCCGCTTATATAAGACGCGTCTTATGTAAGTCGCGACTTATTTTGTCCCGTATAAATGGCCCTAATATTCTAATTTTTTGAGATGCACCTGTATATAGGCCCTCTCGCAGGAATCGAACATGGGACCCTGCGATTCCGGTGCAGCGCTCTGAGCTACAGAATCCAGTTGCCGAGTCCCAGGGCCGCAAATCCGAATCCTTCAACATTTAGTTCCGTGAAGGGAGATGCTCAAAATCCTGCATGATATTTTCACCCATTAACCGTGCACTGCTATCACCTTAATATATATAGGTATGAACTTGTGGTTAATGGTTGGCAACTGGACTCTGCGGCTCAGTTGGTTAGAGCGCTGCACCGGAATCGGCCCTCCATATATAGTTCCATTTTTCGTAGCTGCTTAGGTCTAATATATGTATACATTTACAATGGATTTTTTCATCTACAAAAAGCCTTCAACATGATATATTTTATACTATCGTTTGTGGTGTTACTCTGAGTGTGCATCCACACTGGGCAAGCTGAAAAGTTTGCCTGACCACGGTGGGAATCGAACCCGCGATCTTAGAATACATTGATATCGAAGAAATTAGACTCAGTTCCGAAATATCACCAATTCGAACCGACTTGGCCTCGTAGCTCAGGACTAGCATCCCAAAGGTCGCGGGTTCGATTCCCACCGTGGTCAGGCAAACTTTTCAGCTTGCCCGGTGTGGATGCAGAATAACACTACAAACACCATATTCAGTTTATTCACCTGAGTACATAACACCAACACACACAAAAAATTACCTGAACAAATTTAAAACACCGAAGGCGTTTCAAGAGGTCCGTAGCGTGGAAGGAAAGTACTGTGTTTGTAGTGCTACAAATACAATTGATCAACCACAATCAAATTATAGTTTTGTGATATTTTTTCTGCAGGAATCGGACAAATTAAAGGATGATGATCTCTTCAAATTCTTGGCAGATTTACGACGTCCTACTTCGTTGCTCAAACGGCTGAAATGTATCCCAGGTAAGGATAGCTAAATTTTAGCCCATCTATTTATACATCGCAGAAAATTTCCGTTTCATTTCTTTAGGCTATAGAAAAATTCTAGAGTTAGACTAAAGTTAAATAAATGTGCCTGCATCATATTTCTACAACATGCTGTCTGTATTGTAGGGGTTTTAAAGCTGGACATTTCTCCCCCTGGCGATAAACCGCCATATTGTTTAACATCAGAACTTCAACAGGTAATTTATATTCGTTATTTCAAAGTGAACTCTATAAAGACTGGAACGACAACCGCTGGCGTTTTGAAGCCAAGATGGCGGATATTAAAAGCCGTCTTGTAGGTGTGCGCAGGGCCCTGTAAAAAGCGGGCGGCGAAACGGAGATAGCGCCCCTGTTCTATGTATGATGCATGGACCCCCGTATACATTAAAAACAAAAATTTTCAAAACAAATTTGGCGGGCGAATCGGAGGTGTCTTTTCCGTGTTCGGACACCCCAGATGATGTTTTATGTGGCATAAATGACGTAGAGCAAGATGAAAACGAAGCAGCAGAAGATATCTCAGAGTTACTCAAAAGTTTAAATTAGATAAGTTCGAAAAAAGGTTGTGAGAGCTCGCGCAAAGTCCTTGAAAGAGTCGCTCTCAGTATTTATGGCCAAGATATTGCACTGAAAGTTAAACAAACAATTGCAGATTAGATTTGAGAGATTGCTGTCGTTTGAGGCTAAAGCTTGGTTTTCGAGTTTTTATATATTTATCACTTTTCTTATAGATTCATCCTTATCAAGATGGACAAGTGCGACCGTTCAAAGAAGTTGAAGAATTCGTTCCCAAAGAAGTATTTGCACCATACGTTGCATACAAGTAAGTATTAAATGTTTAGTTACTGTAGCCCTAGGAAGTAAATACTTTTAGCGAAGTGTTTCAGTTTAGTTACAACCTTCAATAATATGGTCAAATGTGTCTTTACACGTCGTCCATGTGAAGAAGCATTGGTGTTAATCTAACTTTAAATGGAAAGGAATATGGATGTTTTTCATCATATATTCGGGAGGTGCATGAACGGTATTTTTCGCTCAATTTCATTGGTTGCGAGATTTGCAATACAAATAATTTATATTTTTGTTGTATACACTGAACCTCAGTGGTAGTGCATGAACAGTGCAAGGATATTCATCTCGACGCTTCGAGTCTCTGTGAATATCCGTTGCACTATTTGCCTTCACTTTGATGAACCATTGTTAAGAGGCTGTCTCTCTAAGAACCGACCAATGACTCTCGGCTCATAAAATGAAATTCTTCGTTACTTTCACAATGAAATGTATTTACCCCAAGAACAAGCAAACACTATTTGGAATTTTGAAATTTTATTAATTTTTAAAATTTCAGCGACTTTTCGGTCCCGCGCCGTTGGGCAGAAAATCCTCTGCCTAAATCAGGAATAAAAATTAGCCGAATTCAAATACATATAATTTTAAAAGTATTCAACTAAATGTTATGATTTTTTGACCCACCAACGTGAAAATTATTCTACTTTGAAACTTGCCTTGTTTTATGATACTTTTACAGAAATATTATGGCAAACTTTAGCGATAACAAGCACCGGGTGCAAATACGGCTTTGTACGCATATCAAATTCGACTTTAAATTTCTCAAAAGTGGCACCTAACTGGATTCAGTGACTAATATGGTTAAAAAAAGGGAAGTTTGAAGTACCTATATCCACAATAAAACTTGTTACCAACCGCGATTTGAAGACTCGACAGCCTCAGAAATTTGATACAAATTGGCTATTTTGTTTAGCTTCAATCATAGCGGACTTAGCTTCCAGTCACTTGTAAAATACGCTGTTGTTCCGTTTTTTAAAACAAGCCTTTAAATCATCGTAGTTAAGCGATTTTTCTATGTTCATAAACATCACAAGTGGATTTAATTAAAAAGAATTTCGATCGATGCAGCGAGGTATTATTAAACGTGGTACGCTTTCGTATTAAAATTAGCTACTCGGGGAAAACCCGGAAGTTATTGTCAAATTGTCAATGCTGATATTTATTAATCTAAACCCTTATTCTGTGATCTAAACTCTGTATGTCTATTCTGCAACATTGGAAATGAATTTAAACTGGAAAAAAAGACTTGATCTAGAAGACTACTATAGATACTGATTATTCAAAATGATCCAGTGGCAATCGTGCATGCCAATTGAATTGGATTTGGATTATGGTTCGAATAAGGGTTTTGATTAGTGTTTCAACCAGGGCTTGGCTGAAATTTAATAGAAGAGTCATATATGGAATAGTCTCCAAATGACCCCAACTCTATCCTGACCCCTACCCTACACCCACCCCACCTCTATTGTGATGTCATTTGAGGACCTTTATATCAACTTCACCTGGAATTGTTTAAGGAGAGCTAATAAAGGGTGAAGTTTATTTTCATACAAGAGTTTTCAAATGACGACACAAAAACGCGAGGTTGGGGTAGGGTCGTACTGGGGGTGTGGGTAGGCCAGGGCATGTGGGGACTCTTATATGAAACGTCGACCAGAATAATGGTAGAAACTGTTCACGATGTATTCAAAAAGGGGAATGTTAATTAATGCGTAAATTACCCCAATAACGTATAGTATCATGTGAAGATATAGTGGGGAATCGAAATTGTCAAATATATACTAATGAAATTGCTGTGCATTACACGGAAGAGAAGCTATAGAAACAAGACAATACGCCATGGTTCTGGTTTTCTGCTAATAAATAGCAGTAATTGTTGCACGATTAGACTGTTTATGACGGGAGTGCCAAAATTAGCAATGACTCTATTTTACCTCGCTTACCTCGCTGTAACGTTTACCTCGCTGCATCGAGCCAAATCTTTTCGAATTAAAACAACTTCTGATGTTCATGAACACGGAAAAATCGCTTAACGGCTTGTGTTAAACGACGCATTTTACAAATGACTGGAAGCTCTGGCGTCTCAACTCCGCGATAATTGAAGGTAACAAATTTCAGAGGCTCTGGGAGTCTTCAAATCGCGGTTGGTAACAAGTTTTATTGTGCATGGATATTGGCACTTCAAACTTCCCTTTTTTCAACCATATTAGTCACTGAATCCAGTTAGGAGCCACTTTTGAGAAATTTAAAGTCGAATTTGATATGTGTACAAAGCCGTATTTGGACTTGGTGCTTGTTATCGCTAAAGTTTGCCATAATAGTTTTGTAAAAGCATCATAAAACCAGGTAAGTTTCAAAGTAGAATAACTTTCACGTGCGTGGGCGAAAAAATCATAAAACATTGTGAAAGTAACGAAGACTTTCATTTTTTGAGCCTAGAGCCATTGGTCGGTTCTTAGAGAGATAACCTCTTAAATTCATTCCCAATCGTGCAGAATAGACATACAGAGTTTAGATTAATAAATATCAGCATTGTCAATTTGACAATAATTTCCGGGTTTTCCCCGAGTAGCTAATTTTAATACGAAAGCGTACCACGTTTGATAATACCTCGCTGCATCGATCGAAATCTTTTTGAATTAAACCCACTTGTGATGTTCATGAACACAGAAAAATCGCTTAACTACGATGATTTAAAGGCTTGTGTAAAAATACGGAACAACAACGCATTTTACAAGTGACTGGAAGCTCTGACGTCTCAACTCCGCTATAATTGAAGCTAAGCAAAATAGCCAAATTGTATCAAATTTCAGAGGCTGTCGAGTCTTCAAATCGCGGTCAGTTACAAGTTTTATTGTGGATATGGGTACTTCAAACTTCCATTTTTTTAACCATATTAGTCACTGAATCCAGTTAGGTGCCACTTTTGAGAAATTTAAAGTCGAATTTGATATGCGTACAAAGCCGTATTTACACCCGGTGCTTGTTACCGCTAAAGTTTGCCATAATCTTTCTGTAAAAGTATCATAAAACAAGGCAAGTTTCAAAGTAGAATAATTTTCACGTTGGTGGGTGAAAAAATCATAAAATTTGGTTGAATACTTTTAAAATTATATGTATTTGAATTCGGCTAATTTTTATTCCTGATTTAGACAGAGTATTTTCTGCCCGACGGCGCGGGCCGAAAAGTCGCTGAAATTTTAAAAATTGATAAAATTTCAAAATTCCAAATAGTGTTTGTTTGTTCTTG